GGACCTCCTGATGGCACCTGGTATTTTTGTAAGAAGACAAGGTAAATATGGACAAACTTGACCCAATCAGAAAATATGTATAAAGACAGCAGTCGTGAGAGTCTGACCCACAAATCAAGCAGTCACCAAGACTTGCAAAGAAAAAGCTTCCTATGTGTTATAATCTAAAGCACTACAACATCATTAATAAACCATAAGAAAATCCTTGTGCATAGGTATATAGTCAACGTTGTCTCCGGATTATATAACAACGTTTCAAAATTGGATCTTCCTCAGGAGATATTAGAGTAGTACAAAAGCTCTCTGTATTCATGAAGTGCTTGACAACAAATCAAGAAAACATTCAAATAGGACGCTGATCTCAATAAATGTTCAGGCTCAAATATGCTGCTATGCTTATAAATGGATCCCGGGCATCTCCTGGGACTGCTTGATTTGTGGGTCAGACTCTCACAACTATTGTCTTTATACCTGGTATTTTTGGCCCCTGTGTAACAGAGTGTTGGACTGGATGGGCCATTGGCCTGATCCAACACAGGCTTCTCTTACGTTCTTAAGTAAACAAAAAACCTGTGATATTATTATGCAATCTATTCAGTAATAATTATTAAGCATTTATATTACAGTTTTTTTAAAAAAAGGTAAAGGTTCCCTTGCTCGAAAGCCAGTCGAGTCCAACTCTAGGATTGTGGTGCTCATCTCCGTTTCAAAGCTGAAGAGCCAGCGCTGTCCGAAGACATTTCCGTGGTCATGTGGCCGGCATGACTAAACACCAAGGCACACGGAACGCTGTTACCTTCCCACCAAAGTGGTCCCTATTTATCTACTTGCAATTTCTTGCTTTCGAACTGCTATGGTAGGTTGGCAGGAGCTGGAACTAGAGATGGGAGCTCCCTCGGTCATGTGGCACACTCGGGTCTCAAACTGCTGAACTACCGACCTTCCACAGCCTGCAGTTCAGTGTCGTAACCACTTGAGCCACCGCAGCTCCTATATTACGGTACAAACTACAAAACACATTCCAATTAAAAATATACAAATATTTAAAGTTTCTTTGTAAGCCAAAGTGTCTGTGCTCAAAGTTTCTCTGTTTAGTACAGCTCAAAGTGACAGTTGATCAGATATTTGGAATAATTTACATCTGCATCAAACTGTGAGCTGTACTTATACCAAGGAGCTTCGATCACGGGCAGTTTGGTTTACAAGGACACTATAAGTATTTGTATATTCTGCATTGGAACGTGTTTTGTAATGTGTACCATAATATTGCATAATGAAATCACAGTTGTTTTTTAGATTAGTTATTACCCACCCGGAGGCTGGCATCCCAAGCAGTAGGTGATGTGAAAGACCTCCACCAGAGACCCTGGGGAGCTGCTTGCTGGGCTGCTTGTCTGAGTAGATAATACTGACCTTGATGGACCGAGGGCCTGATTCAGTAGAAGGCAGCTTCCTGTGTCCAGCAGGACTCTGTGGAACTGGGCCGGAGAAGAAGAAGAAGATGATGAAGAAGGAGAAGAAGGCAGGAGAAGAAGAAGAGGAGGAGGAGGAGGAGATTGGATTTCTACCCCGCCCTTCACTACCCAAAGGTGTCTCAGAGCGGCTGACAAACTCCTTTCCCTTCCCCTCCCCACAACAGACACCCGGTGAGGCGGGTGGGGCTGAGAGAGCTCTTGACAGAAACTGCTTTTTTTCAAGGACTGCTCTTATCAGAACTAGGGCTTGTTCACGGTCATCCAGCCAGGTGCAAGTGGAGGAGTGGGGAATCCAACCCAGTTCTCCCAGATTAGAGTCTGCGCACTTAAACCACTACACCAAACTGAAGAAGAGGAGGAAGTATAAAAAGAAGAGGAGGAGGAGGAGGAGGAGGAGGAGATTGGATTCATACCCCACCCTTCACAACCCAAAGGAGTCTCAGAGTGGCTGACAGACTCCTTTCCCTTCCCCTCCCCACAACAGACACCCTGTGAGGTAGGTGGGGCTGAGAGAGCTCTTGACAGAAACGGCTCTTTTTCAAGGACAGCTCTTATCAGAACTAGGGCTCACCCAAGGTCATCCAGTGGAGGAGTGGGGAATCAAACTCAGTTCTCCCAGATTAGAGCCCGCGCACTTAACCACTACAGCAAACTGGCTCTGAGGACAGAGGTGGGGAGGTCACCCTCTTTGATCCAGGAACATTACAGCTCCTAATTCCTGGGGGCCAGAAGGAGGTTGCAATTTCCACGTCCAACATAAGGGGGTGCCCACCATCCGTCCATCTTCACTTCGGCTTCCGGTCTCTGTGAGAGCACAGTTCTGAGCTGCTTCTGCGCATACCCCCCCCCCTTAGTGTGCCTTGGCTCTTCCCCCC